CTTTTCTTCAAGTAGCTTCTCCTTGGACAACAGCCCAAAGCACTTGAATTGTTGAAGTCTTCTTCTTCAAAATTTTCTGAAAGCTTTGTTGATCTTGATGTAGTAAAGAGAAGAACTTATTCATCTTGATTCACCTTAGAACATTTTGGACAGCATCCCTTGTTCCATTTTCTTCTATGATCACTTTAGAGCACAACATTTGTGTTGTGGATTTGCAACTGGAGCTTTCATGATTATCTTCATTATCTTTTGAGGCTTAGAAAGCTTAGTGCAACATATGAAATTAAGCACATTGTGAATCAATGATTTTATTGCAATCAGTATCAACATGACTGAAGAATCATTTTGATAACAGTTTTTCTTGTTGTTGTTATAGTGGTTGATAGCTTTTTGGTTGTGTTCCAATAATGACAGCTTTCATTTTTACCATTGAACACCAATATGCGACTTGGTATCTGCAACTCGCAACTAGCGACCAACAATATTTAAACATACGATTATTTTCTTATATAGCCAAGAAAAATAGAGCCATTGGCTATTTGAAAAAGAGTAATTACAAGTATTACTATTATATCCTTTTCTCTTCCACAATTCAAGTAAGTGGAGAGGTAGTGGGATAAGGATTTTTGTACTGTGTACTATTGTACCATGTTACTGTTATATTCTTTCCTTCTATAACTTAGAGGCTTTTGAGAGCATGAGTTTAGAAGCTGGAACATAACATAAAGTTTTCAGAACTTCAAGTCTTCAGAGTCTTCTGAACTGCATCTTCATAATCTTCAGCACTTAGTCGTGAGAACCCGTTGTAGAGAGCCTTGGATCAGAAGAGATTAAAGTCTTCAGAGTCTTAAGAGCTTTGTCTTTAGAGTATTCCGCACTTGGTCTTGAGAACCCATTTTAGATAACCTTGGACCTTTAGAACTTCAAGTCTTTGGAATCTTCAGACCTCCCGTCTTTAGAATCTTCAGTACTTGGTTTTTTTAAGAATTATTTTCTTTAGAACCTTGGGTCTTTAGAAACACAAAGTCTTCAACATCTGGACTTCAGTAAAAACAATGTCTTTAGATCTTTTAAATTTGTCTTCTTTGAAAAAGTTGTCTTTTAGAAACTAAATTTTTAGCATCTGGACTTTAGTAGATACTTGAGTCTTCAGATCTTTTGACTTTTTCATTAGAACACGTTGTCTTTAGAAGATTGAGTCTTCAGCATCTGGATGTAAGTAGAAACTTTTGTCTTTAGACCTTCTGACTGGTCTCTTTAGACAAACACCAGAGCTTACACTTCAGAGCCTTTTGGAGTATCTTGCTACTGTTAATAGAACTTGTGTAGCATAGAAGCATGATTAATTCTATTCTAATGTGTTGGATACGCCATCCATCAGAAGCAGAACATGTTTGTTAAGTACTCAACAATAACAAGAATAAGTACAACAAAATTGTTCACACAAGCATACTCATTTTTTATCATCACAACTCAGAGATAATATTGCATAACCAAATCTTGTTCTAACATTCTTTCCTCTTGGATTCTTATCAAAGTGTAAAACAGGAACCATAGAAATTTTATTTGTGCCCCATGTAAAATTCATCATGTTATCCAGTCCTTAATAAGAGATATCATTATAAAAAATGCCAAGGTCTACCAAGTAAAATACAACCAACATCCATATCAAGAACATCATAAAGTACCTCATCTCTATAATGTTTTTAGATGGAGATAAGAACCCTGCAAGCTATCATTACTCGAACTTGGGATCCCTTCCTTACCCAATTGAGGGTGCATGGCTTCTCATGGGTTCTATGGACAAATTCAAATAATCTATCAATTTCTGTGACACTAAATTTTGTGATACCATTATCCATGATCAGATTACACATTTTGTTCTTGATAGAACTATGTGTTTTGAATAAATTCTTGTGTTTCATTTCATCTTTGAATGAGACTAAAATTATTTGTAACAAAAAAATTACCCTCTCATCAGATTCTTCCTATGTAAACTTAACCTCGACATATTCATCGTTCTCAACTGCATGATCTTCTATTTCATCATATTCCTCCCTTTCTTTCGCAACAGCATCGACTCTCCTTGTTGGAAAATATTTGATCTGTGGCTTTTTCCGTTACAATAATAACATGTATCTTCAGTGGGTTTAACATATGGGTTATTCTGTTTCTGAATTGGTGTTTTATCCCGTTGCACAATGCTAGATCTACTAGATCCCTTATTCCTATGGTTGGAATCTGTGATTGTTGCAATATTTTTCTTATCACCTGTTGATTCAAAGTTATTCTTGGGTGAATGCTTTCTAAAAGGTGAGAAGTTTCTAGGGGATTTCTCTGTCAATTATGCCTTCAAAGATAGACTAGATACCTCAGCCAGGGTTCATACATTCTAGACCCATCTTCTCCAACAAAGATCCATTTAATCCAATGGTGTATCGAGCTATATTTTGGCTATATGATTCTCCCAATTCATTATGCTCAGAGAAACGCAAGAACTCAACTCTATATTTTATCACAATTTTCTTGCCTTGAACACACTCAATATACATCTTATAAAAAATTTGTTCATAATCCTACGATGAAAAATTCTCCAACATCAATTGTTTCATTCTTCGTCAAGATTTGATTGGTCCCTTCCTTTTCCTTTGCCTCTGAACAATAAGTTTATCCCACCAGACAACAATAGTACTCTTTAGCCTGATCGTCACCATCTTAACTTGCTTGTTCTTAAAAACACCTATAACATAGAAGAACCTGTCAACATCGATCTTCCAATCGAGAAACTCCTATACCACCATCGTTCCATCGATTAATGAAATGTCAGCCTTCAGATAATCATGGTTATTTTGATTCCCAAGATCAACTACCTCTTCCTCGTAAGGTTCTTCTTCTTCAGAACTTAAATTTTAAGTGATAATACGATGATTATTAACACCCCGAGAACCCTAACATGTCATCTTCTCTTGTCTCTTCACTGATTCCTGTTGTTGTTGGCATTGTTAACCCGATTTGATAAATTTTCCATATGTTTAGTCAAATCCATTACAGCTAGGGTAAAAGTTGTGGTAATTCCCTCAATATTTTCTTTTGCTTTCGTTTAATCTCCCATGGCTAATCAAGTTCCGAAAAGAAATAGGAGAAAAACTGCTCTAATGCCATGTGGGCAATCAGAAACATTAGGGGGTTAGTAAGTGCTAAACCTATAATAAAAACACAGGGTTGCAAGTGCAAAACCTCTCAGATAAGCTCTAGAATTCACCTGATAAAGAGAATATTAAATTTTATTTAACTAAAAAGATGATCTTTGACTCACGTCAAAAGTGTATAAATACGGAAAAAATAAACCCCAATGGTCTTAATGAAACCATAATGGGCTTAAAGATACCCTATGGCTTTTAAACCAAAACATAAATAAAACAGAAATTGCTAAAATATTAAAATACTTTTCGACACGCAATTTCTTCTTTGATACGCGCAATCAGTCTTCTGACATCAAATATTCCCCCAAGTGTTAGTCCTTCACATCTCATAACAAAATCCAACACAAGATCTAAATCCCTCCCTCCCTCTCTCCTACCAAGTCAATCCATGGTTTTGATGTCACTTTTGGGGGGAGAATGTTAGACGTAAGTGTGAGTGTTTAAGTTTCACATTGTTTGAAAATGAATGAAATATTTGATTTATAAGAGAGAAGATCCATATACTTGATGTCTTAAATTATATTTTTAAATTCAATTATAAATAATTAAGTCTCACATTATTCTAAAAATAAATGAAATGTTATATATATATATATATATATATATATATATATATATATATATATATATATATATATATATATATATATATATATATATATATATATATATATATATATATATATATATATATATATATATATATATATATATATATATATATATATATATATATATATATATATATATATATATATATATATATATATATATATATATATATATATATATATATAACGCCATAAAATATTGGTTATTTTGGATGGAGATGTAGAATTCCATTCTCTTATAATTCTAGACCATTAGACCTGATGCTGCTGCTAAATTCCCCCGGACTTCCCAACTATATATATAACGCCATAAAATATTGGTTATTTTGGATGGAGATGTAGAATTCCATTCTCTTATAATTCTAGACCATTAGACCTGATGCTGCTGCTAAATTCCCCCGGACTTCCCAACTATATATATAACGCCATAAAATATTGGTTATTTTGGATGGAGATGTAGAATTCCATTCTCTTATAATTCTAGACCATTAGACCTGATGCTGCTGCTAAATTTCCCCGGACTTCCCAACTATATATATATATAACGCCATAAAATATTGGTTATTTTGGATGGAGATGTAGAATTCCATTCTCTTATAATTCTAGACCATTAGACCTGATGCTGCTGCTAAATTCCCCCAGACTTCCCAACTATATATATATAACGCCATAAAATATTGGTTATTTTGGATGGAGATGTAGAATTCCATTCTCTTATAATTCTAGACCATTAGACCTGATGCTGCTGCTAAATTCCCCCGGACTTCCCAACTATATGTAATTTTGCCTTTAAAAAACGTTATAATTACAATATTGAAGCTCGATTTTTCCCATTTCAAAAGCATTCTACTAAGTCTTTAAATATAAATCATAAAAAGAAAGTTTCTTTATAATTAAAATATATATAAATGATCGAATTTAATTTATTTATTAAGACAAAAATATGAGTTTTATAATGAACTCACACATGTAAGACAAAAATATGAGTTATATAAAATAAAATAAGAAAAGCATGTCAAACAAAAATATATATATTTTTAAAAATACAATAATGTTATTATATTTTAGTCAAATAAAATCTTTTTGTAATAACTTATTTAATATTTTTTTAAATAATTGCATTAATTTCTCTTGTCATTATAAATAGCCTATTTCAATGAGTTACTTGTCATCCTAGCAAAAAATAATGGCAACCCACATCAATTCTCTTCTTTTTATCTTTGCAATTTTATGCATTGCTTCGACCATGGTTACAGGTAACAAACTAGTTTCATAATCAAACATTGTTATGTTCTCAATCAAATGATTAGACAATGGTAGAACATGAGTATGGTGTTTTAAATGCAAATATTTATAATGGTGTTTAATTTATTGTATTAGAAGGCGGTTTAACAGGGATAGGAAAATGTGTTATTATGGGAGCATGTCCAGATGGAGCACAACAGTGTTACAAATATTGGAAGTCAAGGGGCTTCTCTAAAGGTGGCGAGTGTGTGAAAGATACAAACTTTTGTTGTTACATTACTTGAAGATATATATGTTTGATAATTGCACTTTTTAAATATGTACAAACATATCTAGAAAGAGTCTTTTATGATTTTCATAAAATTAAGATAAAAAGGTGTAATTTCAATTAAAGAATAATAATACATTGATTGTAGTATAAATAAAAGTTTTTCTTTTTTAAAGTTTCACTAGCAGTATCTAATCCACTAAACTGCATAATCTAATTTGAGATCATTTCTATCATCAAGTAGTTCCAACCAGCTATCAATCATTTCTGAACTAATTAACAGTTGAAAATAAAAAGTTATATTTTAATATAGTAGATGTGAATTCTCTAATAATAATAATGACAAAGCTAATAGGAAATTTTTTAAAGCACTCTTATATTTTCTTAAAGGTTTTTGATAAAATTTTCGTAATATCTTCTGAATTCAGATATATATATTTAAATTTATTAAATTTCAATTTTTTATTAAATAGGTTCGAAGATGCATATTCGAAGTCATTAAAACTCTTTTTCGAATATATATTTCTGAAATACACAGAAACAGTAACAAAATCAAAACTCTTAAAAGCAAAATAACTTAACATAGATTTAACATAGATAGTCACATTTACATAGATAGTAGAACATAAATTTAACATTACATATTTTTATAAACGGATAGCTGAGAACGTCGCAACATTTTGATAACATCTTCTATCGATCTTTGAAGCTTTGCATCCACTTCAATCGGACCATTAGTAGAGTATCGCTGAAAAATACTCCACATAACCTTTAAATCGTCATCCGTCTTTAGTTCAAACTTGGAGAACTTTATCTTTCCTTCAGTGTCAAGTGAGAGTGAACGATACTCGACCTTGACCACCTTTCGATTTTCTGGATATTGCAAGAGAGAATTCAGTGTGGTAACACTACTACAAAACGCGCAAACAACGCTGCCAAAGTCATCACGGTTTGCCCCAAAACCGTAGTGACATCTTTAAATTAAGGCGCTAACATTTTATTTTCAATTTTTAAATTGATAATTTAAGGTTATAACTACGGCTAATTCACTAACTGTGGTGATACATTCTAGTTTCCCGGGTTCAATCCTCAGCTCCCTTGAATAGTTTATCCCTCTTACTTTCATGCATACTTTTTCAATTAAATTTATATATAATAAAAAATAATATGTGTACCACTACGGCTCGTTTGAACAACCGTTGTTACACACTGGAGATTCTTTGTATATATTAAACACTAAGTACCAATTCTTCCACTAATAAAAGAAACTAAACCTTAACACCAACGTCGCCAGGAAGAAGAAAACAACCAAAACACTCATTGTTGTTGTCCATACTCGCCTCAATGTCTCATTCCAAGGGTGTAAAATCTCGATCTAGAAATTTATGTACTTGTGATTGTCGTATGGTTTCGTTCCTATGCAAGAGAGGTCAAAATAAAGAAAGGCTTTTTGGTGATGTCCAAATTGGTGGACTGTTGAAACATGTAATTTGTTCATATGGGATGAAGACTTGAGAGAAAAATTAGAAGATGAGAGTAATATGATGCCATAGTTGGAAGTTGTTGAGTATTTGAAGGTTATTGATACAGATCTAAAAAAGAAGAACAATAATTTGAAGAACAAACTGAAGTCAGAGAGGTTTTCTGAAAATTTGAAGATGTTATGTTTTCTTATCTCCTTTTTGTTTAATATTTACTTTGTTATAAAATATAATATTTGAATTAAGGTTTGAAATTTGAAAATGTTATGTTATCTTATATCCTTTGTGTTTAATATTTTATGTACTTTGTTATGAAATGTAAGAGTTGAAGATGCAGTGAACTTGACAGGAATATGCAACTAACAGACAATTTCTTACTAGTAAATTCATCGCAATAATTTTCAGTTATAATAATGTGTTTTATATATTTTGAAGTTTAAGCTTTTATGTTAAGTTGATAGTTTAAGTTGAATGTTTAAGTTGATAACTGTAAGAGAGTTAAGCATATAGAATAAAACTTCATTACATAAATTTTTATTACATAATCAAAAACCATAATAAAATCTAAATCCTCTCACTGAGATAAAGTTAGACCAATCATAGTCAGCCTCATCATCATCATCAAAATCGAAAAAAGTCATTATTTGTCTTCTCAACCTTCTTCTTCTTCTTCTTCTTCTTCTTCTTCTTCTCACCCTGAGAGCTCTCATTAGTCTAAACACAATACCCTCTACAACAACATCAAGAATTTGAGGATGGTTTTGTACCAAAGCACCGGCCTCTACAACAACATCTTGATTCTGAGGCTGGTTTGGAACCACAACACCCTTTACAGCTACATTTGGATTCTCAGCATTGTTGATGGCTTGAGCAGGATAACCCATTTTGATTTCTTTGGATGAAGATGGTTTTTATGTCTTGGTTCTTCCGCTTTTATGATGTTCTTTCTGTTTCTTCATCTTCTTATCTTGGATGTTTAAAAACCAAAGTTGCTCATCATTATTTCTTTAGTTCTATACGCTTTCTTTTCTCTTAGAAGTTGGAAAGATTGCATTTCTCGAGCTTTTCATATTTTATTATTTAGTTGTAATTAATATAAATTTTGATATCAATTAAAAATTGGTTTAGTGATGATTCTGGTATGAAAATTTGACATTTATTCAAATATTATATCACAATGGTTGTTATGAATAATCGTTGTTATAAGGTGCACATTTTCCGAATTACTACGACAATCACTAGACCGTGATTGTAAGTATCACATATACAACCACACACTATATAAAAATTCATGGCCTCACGTGGTTGTATGTCTTATAGAATTTATATTGTGCACGTCAATGCATTCAAAAAATGGTTCGCTTACATTCTAAAATGCACCAAATAAATTGTCTTAAATCTAAAATTGGGTCTTTCTTCGACTTCTCCCTATTTGATTCTCTCTCGAGCTCTATCAATTTGGTGAATTCTGCCATCTTTTCCAAAAAGGTATTCGGCCAAGTTTCTGCCTCTTTTGCATAATGCTCCATCCACTGCACTGATGTGACATTGCACTGATGTAACATGTATATGACACCCCGGTTTCAAATAAACTTGAACAAAAGGGCGTCATATAAGGTACCTAATACAAATGATGCGACCTGATGGATCTTGAGGTGGACAACTCCAAAGTGGGAAGAATATTTCCGAAAAACCATATCTCGTTAGATCGATACACATCCTGTCATATGCACTTTCTATAAGATGACTCATTTCAGGGAAGTTCATCCACTTTTCAATTGGTGCATGAACACTAACACTTGTAACAAGAGCATTGTGAATATTATCAAATTCTTCCTTATTCATATATAATCCTGTGTAAAGTTCTTTATGCACTGTCAACTCCAAAATAAGTGTTTGGAGCACAAGAGTGTGATTCTCCCCTCTTTTACCAAGTAAATCAAACACAACCTGAAACCCGCAATTACCATCACTCCCCACATCTAGAATTCTTTAAATTTGTTTGTGTATAAAAAACGATATCTCATCAATGTAGATAATCAGAGGTGGAAGTAGTGCTTTTTTAATTAGGGGTGTATGTGGTTGTTTTTTAAAAGAGGGTGTACGAGGTGGTTTGGAAATGTAAGCTCCCTTGAAAACACTTGTTTGGGATTTTGGGGAATCCGAGAATATTGAATCAACAACTTCATGGTAAGACGGAGTCCGCTTTGTTGAATTGTCATCTTGTGTTATTTTCACCTTTCTTGAGCATCTTTGGTTTTTATCGGTTCCGAATGAGGTTTCAAATCAGTGGTTTCTGGATAGGCGGTTTTCCTCAGCCGTTCTTTTATGTGAAATCCCATAGTATCATCCGCTTTAGAAAATCTATCCATAATCATTTTCAATTCGGTTGTGATAGCACTACAACATTTGTTGTCTCTGGCAACACTTGTTTAGGTAACATGTAGAAATTGTTGCCTTAAATTCATATAGGCAACGATTTACGATTGTTGTCAAAAATATGTTTGCAACCCTTGATAATCGTCGCCTAAAATACTTTTGGGGACGTTTATGGAGCGATACTCTTCTATTTTTTTGCCAACGGTTGTTAATTGTGCCCTTAACTGCTTTTGGGGACGATTTTAGAGCGTTAAAATATTATTTCTTTAGCAATGTTTGACAATTGTCCCCTAAAATATTTTTGGGGACATTTTTAGATTGTTACATTAGTTCTAATAAAAGGCTATATTTCTGAAATGTTGTATAAATGTTTTTAGAATTATCAATTTTTTGGTGGCAATCTTCCCTCCAAAACGTATACACTAAAAAACAAATATTTTTCTCTAAACATTATTAATATATATAAAAAAAAATATTTTTCTAACACAGGAATTTAAAAATAAAAAATTTCAATTAAACAGAAAATAAAAAATTATATATATATCTATATATATATATATATATATATATATATATATATATATATATATATATATATATATATATATATATATATATATATATATATATATATATATATATATATATATATATATATATATATATATATATATATATATATATATATATATATTTCAATTAAACAGGAATTTTTCTAACACATTATTAATATTTCTCTAAAACTTATATATATATATTTAAAAAAAATTCATTAAACAGAAAATAAAAAATTTTCTAACACAGGAATTTAAAATATTTTTCATTACTAGTCCTCTCAGTTATTGCCACGTCTTATTAAAAAGAATAGAAAATAAAAAAAAAGAAAAAGAAACAGATAAGGAAAACAAAAGCAGCAGCTTTCGATTCTCCTTCTTTTTCGTTCACACATTTCGTCGAACCTAGCCGTGCTCTCAGACGCTCCGTCCTTCATCCGCTCCGAGTCAAACCTCTTTCGTTCACACCCTCCGTCGTGTTCTTCGTCACTCCGTCCAACTGCTACACCGTGTTCGTCGTCCACGTCGTCGTTCGTTCGTCGTTCGCTGTCCAACTGCTTTCGTCCACGTCGTCCAAGTCGTCCGCTGTGTTTGTATGTATT